AACTCAAACGACCGAGAAAAGTCCGAAACAAAGCTAAAACATAGTAAAAACAGCATCTAAAACCTTCTTTTTACGCATGTAAACAAGCGTAATCAATACGCATTCCCTATGCTTCAACAGTGGGCAGCCTGATGTATGACATGTTGTGTACTAGGCCTGACATTTGCTATGCAGTAGGGATTGTCAGTAGGTATCAATCCAATCCAGGATATGATCACTGGACTGACGTTAAAGGAATCCTCAAGTATCTTAGATGAACGAGGAACTATATGCTTGTGTATGGCACTAAGGATTTGATCCTTACAGGATACACTAACTCTGATTTCCAAACTGATAAGGATTCGAGGAAATCGACTTTGGGATCAGTGTTCACTCTTAATGGAGGAGCTGTAGTATGGCGGAGCATCAAACATGGATGCATCACARGCTCCACAATGGAGGTCGAATCTGTTGCCAATTGTGAAGCAACAAAAGAGGCAGTGTGGCTTAGAAAGTTCTTAATTGATTTGGAAGTTGTTCCAAACATGACTTTGCCCATCACACTTTATTGTGATAACAGTGATGTTGTGGTAAATTGCTGATCCGTTTACAAAGGCTCATATGGCTAAAGTGTTAAACGGTCGTCTAGAAAGTCTATACCTAGGAGATATGTACAATATAGTCTACGGCAAGTGGGAGACTTGTAAAGGGTGTAGTGTATGCCCTAGTTTATTGTATTTGTACTTTATTACACCACCCACTGTTGTTTTTAGCTTTTGTACACCCCACTAGAGTGAGTTATGGACTCCTGCTTGTTTGGGCGCGTCCATTGATTTGAATGGGTGAGAGTGACCCAAGTCGCCGACTCAATATTCCTACCATTTTGGGGACGAGACCGAGTGGAGAGCTGGGAACATAACTACACAAGATTAAGTTCACTCCTTCCCAACATTAGGGTAAGTAGATGAGCGTTATCTTAAGTGCTAACTCTGGGACTTGAACAAGAGACTTCTGGTTATTGGTTGGACCATAACGTGGTTGTTCATTAAAGGATTATTGGTACTTAAGGTACAAGATGAAACACAGGGGTAAAATGGTAATTTGACCCAGCTGTGGTTACGAACGCTCGTGAATGATTGACTTATGATTAATGATCCAAATCCATGGACGCAAAATATTATACAGTGAGAAGAGTGCAACTGTGAGTCTTTAGTGGAGTGACCGACAGTTAACGAATGTTGATCTCGTATCATTGGAGCTTCCGATCTGTAGGTCCATTAGGTTCCCTTGGTCGCTCTTAAAGGATAGTTAAGAATAGTTAGTTTTGAAAA